AATGTTGGATCAGGCCAAAGGCCCATCCAGTCCAACACTCTGTATCCCACAGTGGCCAGAAATACCAGTGCCATCAGGAGGTCCACCAGTGGGGCCAGGACATTAGAAGCCCTCCCACTGTTGACCCCCCCCAAGCACCAAGATGACAGAGCATCACTTGCCCCAGAGTCCCTATCTATACCTTGTGGCTAATAGCCACTGATGGACCTCTGCTCCATATGCTTATCTAATTCCCTCTTGAAGCCGTCCATGCTTGTAGCCGCCACCACTTCCTGTGGCAGTGAATTCCAAGTGTTAATCACTCTTTGGGTGAAGAAGTACTTCCTTTTATCCGTTCTAACCCGACCGCTCAGCAATTTCATGGAGTGCCCACGGGTTCTTGTATTGTGAGAAAGGGAGAAAAGTACCTCTTTCTCTACCTGCTCTTTCCCATGCATAATCTTATAAACCTCAATCATGTCACCCCTCAGTCGTCGTTTCTCCAAGCTAAAGAGCCCTAAGCGCCTTAACCGTTCCTCATAGGGAAAGTGTTCCAACCCTTTTATCATTCGAGTTGCTCTTTTCTGCACTTTTTCCAAAGCTATAATATCCTTTTTAAGGTGTGGTGACCAGAACTGCACACAGTATTCCAAATGAGGTCTCACCATTGATTTATATAGGGGCATTATTATATTGGCTGATCTGTTTTCAATACCCTTCCTAATAATCCCCAGCATAGCATTGGCCTTCTTTATTGCAGTCACACACTGTCTCGACATTTTCAGTGAGTTATCTACTACAACTCCAAGATCTCTCTCTTGATCAGTCTCTGCCAGTTCAGACCCCATCAACGTGTATTTATAGTTAGGATTTTTGGCTCCAATGTGCATCACCTTGCACTTGGCCACATTGAACCCCATTTGCCATGTTGACGCCCACTCGCCCAACTTTGACAGATCCCTTTGGAGTGCCTCACAATCCTCACTGGTTTTCACCACCCTGAACAACTTCGTATCATCCGCAAATTTAGCCACTTCACTGCTTACTCCCATCTCCAAATCATTAATGAACAAGTTAAAAAGCAGTGGACCAAGTACTGATCCCTGTGGTACCCCACTGCTTACACCCCTCCACTGGGAGAACTGCCCATTTATACTCACTCTCTGTTTTCTATTAATTAGCCAGTTTTTGATCCATAAAAGGACTTGTCCTTTTATCCCATGATTTTTGAGCTTACTTAGGAGCCTTTGATGAGGAACTTTATCAAAAGCTTTCTGGAAGTCAAGGTAAACAATATCTATTGGATCCCCCTTGTCCACATGTTTGTTCACCCCCTCAAAGAACATTAACAGGTTAGTGAGACAAGATCTTCCCTTACAGAACCCATGTTGAGTCTGCCTCAATAGGTTTTGTTCATCTATGTGCCTACTAATTCTTTCCTTAATAATGGTTTCCACCAATTTACCCGGTATCGACGTCAGACTGACTGGCCTGTAATTTCCCGGATCTCCTCTGGAACCCTTTTTAAAGATGGGAGTGACATTAGCTACCTTCCAGTCCTCAGGAATGGAGGCTGATTTTAAGGAGAGATTACATATTTTTGTCAGGAGATCCACAAGTTCACAATTGAGTTCTTTCAGAACTCTTGGATGTATGCCATCTGGGCCTGGTGATTTATCAGTTTTTAAGTTGTTTATCAGTTTTAGGACCTCCTCTCTCGTCACCTCAATCTGACTCAGGTCTTTCAACACCCCTCCCGAACTCAGCGGCTCTGGAGTGGGCAAGCACCTCTCATCTTCCACAGTGAAGACGGAGGCAAAAAATGCATTTAGCTTCTCAGCCATTTCCCTATCGTCCTTCAGTACTCCTTTTACCCCTTGGTCGTCCAAGGGCCCCACTGCCTCCCTGGCTGGTTTCCTGCTTCTAATGTATTTGAAGAAAGTTTTATTGTTGGTCTTTACATTTTTTGCTATATGCTCCTCATATTCCCTTTTTGCCTGCCTGACCACAGACTTGCATTTTATTTTCCATAGTTCATAATTCAGTCTGAATTCAGCCCTAGCTGAGAAAAGTTGAGTACTGACAATTTTGGATTTCAGCCTTACCTGAGAGCAGTTTAACACAGATGGAGAAGTGGGGGAAAGTTGGCAAGGAAGTCTGGGAAGTAGGTGAAGACTCCCATTTGGGCCAAAGAAAGGGGATACATTTTCTAGTGAGAGGAGAATTTCCCTACCCAATCAAACAGGGAGTTAGCTTTGAAGAGTGAAGAGATCCCTGATCTGGTGTGGTTAGAAACTGCCTGTGGAGACCTTAAGAAACAGGAAAAAACTCAAGCCAAGTACTGGTGTTTCAAGAGAAGGGGTTTGGGTACTGGAATGAGAGTACCAGCCTTCTGGAAACCAAAGAGTTAGAGAATACATTCAATCTAATTAAGTAAAAATATCACACATTCACACAAGAACTAGGAAAGAAAGAGTTGAGGTAACCTTGAGAGATCAGGGAATAAAAGGGGGCAAAGCATTGATGGGGTGATAGCTACCTTCCAAAAGGAGAGTCTGCAGTGAAGAGCAGATGGCTTGCCCAAAAGAGATGGTGGATTCAGCTGGTACATGTCTCAGAAGACTGAACCACATGTGGCTGGGTTGGGAGCCTAGTTATAGGAAAATTGTGCCTTCAGGGTAGTGAGGCACAAATGGTCCTAAATGGAACAGGGGTAGCCAGTAATGGCTCAGAAGGGGTATTAGACAAAGAAAGGGAGACCTTTGTTAGTGAAGCATGGGGCAATTGTACAGTCTCTGTACTGACTCTGTTACTGGCTGGCCTATTACAGGAACAATGGGAACAATGGACCATGTCCAGGATGGTCCTAGTATCAGCGGTCAAGTCCAGAGGTGCAGGTGTGAAATGCAATACAGGAATGTAGGTTCTGGAATGCTGGAATTCAGACAAGCTGTCATCTTTTGAGATGCTGAAGTCAAGGTGTTGTCCTAATACGAGGGCAGCTATGTGCTAGTGGTATTAGGGTTGCCAAGTCTTACCTCGTCCTGAAGTGGGGGACTCCTGGGTTGATCCCGGAGCGTGCGTGCCGCATCCACATCACCAGGAAGTGACGCGACCACGCCGGACATGCTGGGGGTGGGGCCACGACCATCCGAGGGAAAACCATAGAGTTTTCCCTCGGTTGACCGTGGCTCCGCCCCCAGCGGGCCCAGCGTGGTCGCGTCACTTCCTGGTGATGTGCACGTTGGGGTGGAGTTCCCCCTGGGGGACTTGGCAAGCCTAAGTGGTATTGGAGCTTGATGGTGGAAGGAGTCAGAGTGACGGTCTGAAAGACATGTCCAGGCTTGTTGGTCTTGCACAGAGAGAGGGCTTGGCTTGCCCTATGCCAGCTTTGGCCCTAAATTGTCTGGGGTACCATCCTTCAAGTAGTGAAAAGGAGGCTCATGCTAACACCTGATCCTTCTCTCATGTTCGTGGGCTGAGCCAACAGCGAAAATATCATACTGTGACAGGATGGGACAGTCAGAGTTCTTCATAAAAGAAGAAAACACATTACTAAGGCGGCTTAGTCAGTAAAGGGAAAAGAAAACAGAGGAAAAATCTTGCCTCTGATGGAGAGAAGTGGATTGAGCTGTTGTATTTGGTGGCAGCATCGTGATACGAAAAATAAACCCACAACTAGTTTGTCCCACTATAAATACTAAGTATAAGAAAATATTTTATAAATTTGTGAGGAATTACCACAGAATTCCTGTCAGAAATGGCACCACACATAGACCTTGGGAGGCACATGGAGGTAAGGGAGAGGAAACATCTGCTGAGGAGAATTCTAGTCAGGCGGTAGAAATTATGAGAATGAAAATGGAAGTGGAGAAAATAGAAGCAGAGAAAGACAGAATTGAAAAAGACAAACAATTAGAATTTCCCAGAATCCAGTCAGAACAGGAAGAGGCTATGATGGCTTAGCAGGGGAGAGAGAGAGGGAAGCTGAGAGAGAACATGAAAAAGAAATGTATAATATGAAAATGAAGGAAGTTCAGTTAAGGGCAGAATTGCAACTTCCACAGAGAGGCAGGGAAAGTCCCTCATTGGAACAAAAGAAATTTCCACATTATCAAAAAAGAGATGATGTGGAGGCCTTTCTCTTCAGTTTTGAACGAACTTGTCAAGATTTTGGGGTCCCAGATGAGGACAGAATTATTTATTTATTTGTGCCCACAGATTTGTGGAGGGCTGGGTGAAGTTTACTCTGAAATGAGGGATGAGGAGACCTCAGATTGTTTGCTTTTTAAACTGAAGGTCAGGGTTATATTTGGGCTGCCCATTCAACAAAGTAGAAAAGCTTTCAGAAAAATTAAAAGGAAGTAGGGCAAAACATATGCTTAGCTAGGTTGTCATTTGCACAGAGCCTTAAACAGATGGGTTGAGAGAACTAAAGTACAGACTTTCAGAGAACTGAAGGAATTAATTGGCTTAGAACAGTTTTACAGAGAAGTTCCTACACAACTTAGATGGTTTCTGAGGGATAAACAGTTAAAAATGGTAGATGAAGCTGCCACTTTATTAGATGAGATAGAAGAGGACTTGGGAGGATCTCCTTTACCACCCCCCATCAAGAAAAATAAACTGTGGGGCACCTGAGTCATGTAAAACCAAACCTGTGACGTGAAAAGAAAAGGCAAAGAGCCACTTGAAAGTCACCCAATGTATCACCATACCCAATCAAACAGTTTGATAAAGATCAGTTAATGAAACACACAGTCCAGCAAGGCATAGTGTACAAAAGATTCCCAAACAAAAATGAGACCTTTAGACTAAAACTTTATCGGGATTCCTCCAACTTTGCATAATGTTTTGCATGACTTCCCGTTAAGTCTGTTTACCTAGCAATATCAGGACTCTGTTTTTCATTTGTTTAACCAATAAATACACAAAATTAATATTTAACTTCTCTGCTCTGTTTAGGTTTTGGAAGCAGAGTACTGAGTTTGAGCTCATTTTGGCTGCCTGCAATCCAGCAACAATGTTTCAAGTCCTGCTTGCCTTATGGATAGTCCCTCTAATCCACACAGTTCTTGCACAACGGGGTAAGACTCTCTATTTTTAATAGGACAAACGGTGCTGGGATTCCTTTGAAACAAATGGGTGTGCTACACTGTTGTAGACAGCAGATTTTTCTTATTAGATGCACGGAGTAGGTTATGGACTGTACTCCTCTCCAGCATGGGAGTATGCATGATCCATGTCCCATCCAGTATGTATGGACTTTTGCATTCAGCCTCACAGTCAGGACTAAAGACAATAGATATTCAGTCCATACATACTGGATGGGACTAACACAAAAAGCTAAAATGTACTGGGAAGACTCACTTGACTGAGACTCAAGTTAAACAAATGAGAGTCAAAAGCATTGATTATGAATAACAACACTTAGCATATCTACAGCACATTTCAAGTGCTGAAATCTTTTCACAGATGTTATCGTCACAATCCTTACAAAAGAAAAATAGCCCAGTGCTGTGATTCCTACATCGAGGGCAGTATACTGGCTCGCCTAAGGACAGGATGGATGAGATGGGAATGAGCTTTCCAGCTCATTCACTTGGCCGCTGTTCTGGCCTCCATTTATGCTCCATGCACTAAACACATGAACACATGTTCTAATGTATAGCAAGACAGCAGCCATTCAGAGACAAGACAAACCTGAAGAACCTGTAACAGTACCCTTGATAATGTAATATCAAAATGAGTGAAATGGAAGGAGAGGGCATTTTTACCATCTAAAGAAATGGTCCATTGCTTGTGAAAGGCCATGCCTTATTTAATTTAACACTTTAAAAATAATTGCTCCAAAAATATATGAGGAAAGTGCTAGACCTGAAATCATAGTTTCTTATTCATTCAAGTCCTGTTAAAGTGCTTTGTGCCTTCTAGTCTGTCCCAGACCACCTGCAATTCCATTGGCTACTGTTGACAAAAACAAGCAAGAATACAATCTGGGAGAAGAGATTCTATACAGTTGCAATTCTGGGTATGTTCCTCATACAGGCTCAAGGAGGTATATATGCCCGTTATCTGGTAAATGGCCTATTATTACACTGAGATGCATACGTAAGTACACTCTTTCTATATCTATAGTTTGTTTTTTGGTCTTTAAGCTCAACACAACCTATCAGTGAAAACGAGTCGCTTATGCTCGCAGTTTATTGCAGTATTCCAACACAGTTGCGATGAGTAAACATGTATGGAAAGGCTTGTTCTGCATTCAGGTGAATGCCAAAAAAGAAGGGGAACCAGCGTACATGAAATGGTACAAAGCACAAAAAAACCCGCTGGCTAAAGATAAACAAAATGTATAAAAATAATATTTAATGCCAAGTTCAATAATACAGTCATATAACTATATAAAGCCAAGGTGTTCTTACAAGAAACAACAGTAATACAGAAAAATAAAGTCCCAAAAATTTCAATGTGTCTCATAATCCCATGATCCTTTGTGACTGAATAAACTGGCTTCTGTATGTGCTTCTACTGAGATTGGGTCCCACTGTAGCCTATTGGTTTTGAAAAAGAATTATTCGAAATGTGGCCGCTTGCATCCAGACTACGTGTCTCTATGGCTAATGGATTTCAAGATTATATGGATTTTCCAGGAACTATATGACTCCACTCTATGATGAATGTATTTCATGTTGGACTATGGAATCACAATGCAACAGGAGTGAGACACATTGAAATTTTTGGGACTTTATTTTTCTGTATTACTGTTGTTTCTTGTAAGAACACCTTGGCTTTATATAGTTATATGACTGTATTATTGAACTCGGCATTAAATATTATTTTTATATCTTTAGCCAGCGTTTGTGTGTGTGTGTGCTTTGTACCATTTCAGTTGAATGCCTGCTTAGAATTTATGTGCATACAGTTGTAGCGATGCAGAGCCCTATGTGTACTATGGGGAAGCTTCTTTCCCTGGGTTTCCTGATCATATGGAGAGAACCCTTTTTGTATAAAATTGTACATGTTGGCTCTCTGTGTAGACATTCAACTTAACACGTGTGACAGAGGCAAAGCCTGCCACTTTGATCCCATGCCCTCTTGTGGTATTTTTGAAAACTTTGTTACTTTAATCTAGGCTTGTGTTTTAGGGCCTTTTCACAAATGCTGAATAATTCATTTTCAGTCACCATTCAATACACTTTGCGACTGGTTTTTACTGTGAGAAATGGCAAGATCCACTTGTAAATGACTGCTAAAGTGCCGTTGTCCACTAAAGGACATAGTGTGGGCAGGAACAAGAAGAAAGGACGTTGTTGTCACTGTAGCTACACACAGGGAAAGAACCTGTGTAATTAAACTGACCTCCTGTTTGAAGCTATGCCGCTTCCTTATTCTGATGCTTAGGCTTAGGGACAGGCACCCTTCATGGGTGTTTACTCATTATGATGATCTCTGAATAGGGCTAATGGGTTCCTTTTTGCATTACTTCATTCCAGCTGTCCGTGATTTTTTTTATCAAAGGATACGAGAGAGGCCAATAGCTGGACAGGAATCCCACACTTGAGATTCAGCAGGTGGAACAGCAAAAGGAAGAGAGAAAGAGGCATGTGTGTGAGTGGGCTCTGTCAGTGCTACTCCTTCAGCAGACTGACTTCTTACCTAGACCCCTGCAGTGCTTCACTGTCCTCTGCCTGCTGTAGGAGATATACTGCATCAAGCCCCTCAGCTTTCCTGTCATCTGCCATCTTCACGCATTTCCTTAACCTGGTGCCCTCCCAGCATGCCTGGTCAAACTCTGCCATGGACCAGCTGGCAGAGGAGGAGCAGACAACAGAAAAAGGGCCCCAGCTCTCAGGTACTTGAACTCAGGGGGAGCCTTGTGAAATCTTCACTCTGAAGAAGAAAATGCTTTATGTTACAACTGTTCCTCCCCCATGAGTGACATGTTGTATGGATGGACTTGGTTGGTCACTGTAACTCAGATCTCTTAATTTCCATAGTTTGGACGATTGGTAATGTGTGGGTTATATCTTTCCTTTTGTCACAGTGCATGCACTGATTAAAGTGGTTATAGGTGGTATAATGCTCAGTACTATGTTGAGTAACATCTGCTCTCCCAAGTAAGGTAGTTTTTACCCTGTGGTAATAGAACCATGTGTCTTCTATGTTTATATGGAAAATATGGGTGCTGATTGATCAATAAGGAATTAAGTAAAATGTGTCCTGATAGTTACTAGAGTGAGTTTCTTAGAATCTTAGGATTAGAAGGAACAACAACTTGCAAGAGGGATCTCATTTCCTCCCCCCCTGCTGTTTCTTCTTTCCCTCCCCTGAAAGCCCCATGTAGCCTCTTCCCTTTTGCTGTTTCTTTCTCTCCTTCCCACCCAACAGCCAACCTACCTTTATCTGCCCCTTTGTCTTCAGCTCCACACTTGGCAGCTTCTGCCTAAGAAACCAATGAGAAAGTTGTGTGGTGCCAGCCACTGGGCTAGGCCCACTTGCGTAATAGGTACCCTCAGGGGTCATTTCATAGAAAAGCTGCTGCAGGAGCTCATTAGCATAATGTATTAGCATATGCCACACCCCCTGACATCACCAGAAGTGTGCACCAGCCCCTCTGTCAGGCAGAAGCACCTGGGATCCATTCTTTCCCCCCTCCCTTCCCTTTGCCTCCAAGTCGGTGATCAGCATTTCCCTGGGCGTGTAAGAAAGGGCCACAAGAACTAAGCACTGATTCAACCCTTCCTGCTCTACCTCTCGTGATTTGCCTAAGTTCACACAATCAGCATTATGATCCTTTTAAAGTTGAAAGCATGATATAAATGCAAAGGACTATTTGTAAGATTATCTGTAAGACACAAGACCAGGACGCATCTCACTTCTGGCAATCACTTGGAGAGACCCTATCACTCAGCTTCCATTGCCCCACACACATCCCACACTGGAATAAGAACATAATATCAGGCCATAGCACATTGCAATAAAGCCCCTACAACTGTATACAGAAATACTGAGCTTCCCTACCATTTGCCACAACTAGCCCACCACACAACCAGGATCAAGACTCCTAAGTGGACCAACAGACAGGCATACACTCGTTTGAGAAACTGAGTATTACATTACAACACCTCTGGAACATTACAGATCAGTAGAGGCAGCACTGCACAGTGGTCAGAGTTGCAGATTGATGTGGGGAGACCCAGGTTTGTATTCTCACTCTGCTGGCTGAGTGACCCCGGGCCAAATCTCCCCTTCTCTACCTAACCTATCCCACAGGGTTGTTGTGAGGATGAAATGGAGACTCATGGGCAGGGTCCCCAGCTTCCCTGGCAGGAACACTATGTTAAGAAATCTCTCACAATTATGCAGCCATAGCAGGCAGGAGGGAAGGAGGCAAATACCTCCAGCGCCAGAGACTTGTAGAGGAAGAGTCAAACTTTGAGGACTTACCCGTGCTCCGGTGTTCTAGCGCGGAGCCTGAAAAAGGAGGGGAGGGCGGGGGGCGGCTCTGCAGGCCATTTTTCAGGCACGGCACTCTGGCGCAGAGCCTAAAAGGGCAGGGAGGGCAGCTCAGCAGTCCCCCCCTTGCGGTGGTTGCAGCTGCTGCCAAAAGCGGCAGCGGCGATAACTTTTTAAAGAGCCCCTAAGAACAGCTGGGGGAGCCAGAATGACCTCCTGTGCGAGAGGTGGAATTTGCCCCTACCAGTCCAAGGCCACCACCCCGGGGCTCAGGGAGGCAGGAGAACGTTTCGTCCCTCCCCCCCCCACGCAACCGTCGCAGCTGCCGCCAAGAACAGCGGCGGCCACCGCCATAACTTTTTAAGGAGCCCTGAAGGAGAGCTGGGGGAGCCAGAATGACCTCTCACATGTGATGTCCGAGGGGCAACGCAAGAGGTGGAATTTGCCCCTACGAGTCCTAGGCCACCGCCCCGGGGCTCAGGGAGGCAGGAGAATGTTACACCTCACCACCCCTCCCCCCTGCGGGCATTGCAGCCGCCGCCGAGAACAGCAGCAGTGGCCATAACTTTTTAAAGAGCCCCTAAGGAGAGCTGGGGCAGCAAGAATGACCTCTCATGGGAGAGGTGGAAATTGCCCCTATGAGTCCAAGGCCAGCACCCCGGGGCTCAGGGAGGTGGGGAAACATTCCCCCCCGTGGTTGCCCAACTGATGGCTGGTGGGAGCAGGGGGCGGGGCTTATGTGCCCACCCCCTGGGCTTCTGACTGGCGGAGCAGTGCTCCGGTGCACTCCGGCAGGAACTGAGGCCTGGGTACCCTCAAAGACTTGTGGGGGGCACATCACATTCCATTGTATCTCCCTCCCTACATTATTTCCTTTCTCCCTCTTCTTGGAAACCCTCATATCCTCCTCCCTTTCCCTGCCTCATTCTCTTCTTCTCAGCCATTCACCTACCTTCTTTTTCTCTGCCTCTCATCTTCAACCATATTTATTATTTATTTACTGCATTTTTACCCTGCCTTTCTCCACAGTGGGGACCAAAGCAGGTTATATAATTCTTTTATCTTCCTTTTTATTCTCACAACAACCCTGTAAGGTAGGCTAGGCTGAACATATGTCCACCTAGTGAACTTCCATGGCAGACTGGTGATTTGAACTGGGGTTTCCATACCCTACCCTTGAGCTCTAACCACTGCACCAACTGGCTTTCAGAGAGTGACTTCTGTTTGAAAGTAGCAAACAGCCAGGCCGAAGTGAGTCATGCAAGTTGGGTGATATCAAGTCTCCCAGTGGTTGATGACAGGACTGGCCTTGATGAGTTCTCCCTCAAAGGTGAAAACAACCCAGGAAAGGGCCCTACCCCTTTCCCTGCCTTTTACAGACAAAACCCAAACAGAATTTTGTGGTTGCCTGGCATCTTTCACTGAGGGCTTCTGTTTCATAAAGTTATGGGCACTTCTTTTATCATTTGGGTTTTTTTAACCCCCATTTAAATTTTATTTATTTATTTATTATCACTATTATTACTTATTATCATTATTTATTATATTATATAAACTACATTATTGTATTATCACATAATATGGCAGTTAATGGTGTGCAGTGTACTTGAGGGCACTGGGTCTTATACTGCCCTCTCTCAATTATTGTTGTGACAACAATATGTAATGGATTCGGAGGAAGATGATTTAGCATTGAAATCATTTCATGTTTACATATTATGCAACATTATTTTATATTTTAACAGCAAAGAAATGTCCTTACCCTGGACCTTTGATAAATGGAAACATAGTTGGTGCAGACTTCCGCTATCAGGGTGTTTTAAGCTTTTCATGTGAACCTGGGTGAGTTTTCTGTTTTCTTAAAATGGCACAAGTGAGAATAGCTTCAAAAGCCAACCTGTGCAAATTTTTAATTGCTCATAAAGCTCAGCAAAAACAGAGCCATATGATGAGTTACACATGTTCAATGAAGCTTCTGACAACTGCTTTATAAATTATCTTTATTGATCTTGTGCTATGTCATGGGCTGGGGTGCCAATCAGAGGGGGTCCAAAAACAGGCCGAGGTCAGGAGCCAGAAACACAGAGCCAAGTCCAAAGTCCAAAGCCAAGCCGGGGTCAGGAGCCAGGAAGACAGAGCCAAGTCCAAAATCACTAACCAGAAACGTAGTCCAAATCCAGAGGATCCAAGAGTCTAGGAAGCTGAGCCGAGCCGATGCGTCACAAAGCTAAATGCTGCTACCAATTAGCCAGCTGTGCGAGTGTCCAGGCTGCTGTTAAAACTCTGGGATAAACTAGCATCTTCCCTGTAGCCTGGTCTCTCGCCGCCTGCTTAGACGAATCACATGTGGAGGCGAGTTGGGAACAATGCTCCCTCTAAGCTGTGGAGTCTTGTGAGTGAAAATTCTACTTTGTGAGCTACTGGCATTAAAGTTGTGAGCAAGCGATTTGGCTACTGCATAAATTACTTTGCTCTGGAGCCATCCTTCCTAAGCTAAGACAAAAATGTGTGAGCTGGAGGCTAAAAAACTGTGAACTAGCTCACACTAACTCAGCTTAGAGGGAATACTGGTCAGGAGGACTTTCATCTTGCGATTTCTTCCCCTCATCTGGGCCACGTGCGAGGAATGCTGATGCGGGCGGCAGCTGCCAAATATCCTCCTCTGCTGCTTCAGCTGTGGTTTCTGCAAGGTCTGGCAGTTCTGTCAGCTCTCCCTCACCCATGCTTATGACACGCTACTCAAGTATGGTTGGCCACAGGAGTAGTCTGGTAATGTACAGAAACTTCTACCTGTGTAAAATGGTTGTACTGCTTGGCTATGCCCATGCCAGTGAAACCTAACGAACTGAAATGTGCCTTATTGCCATACAATATGACCACACCATATGGCTTTTATATGTTTTTATACATTATTGGAGATAGGCGTAAAGTTCGTGGGGCCTCGGGGCGTCAGCCTTCCCCAAAATTTTCAGGAAGGTGCTCAGCCTCCCCCGGGGGCAACTGGTTCCAGCCACCCTTGCTCCCCCCACCCCATTATGAAACTATGTTCAGCGGCTGGGTTGGGACCGGGAGGGAGGGAGCGAAGTTAGGACAGGGGCTTGCTTCCTCCTGGAAGTGAAGCCCCACCCTCAGCTCCCAGCAGCCCTTAGTTCTGCCGGGCTGCACGTGGAGTCTGGCTTTCCTGGTTTCCTGCACGCGCGCACAAAGGTAGGAAGCATGCTTGCCTGGGCTCTCCCTTACTTCTGAGTCCTCAAGGCACATTCGTTCAGCCCGCCTCTCTGCCCCCCTCACCCAGCTACCAGTAAAATCAGCGTGGACTGGGAGGGGAACTTGGCCCAGCAGACTTGCCCTGCTGAAGGGAGTGCCAAAGCTCAGGGGCTGCGGTCCCTCCCACATCCCGGATGACCTCCACAGCACCTCCTCCACTTCTTGTGCCCAGCTGCTGCCTTCCTCTGATTCCCCTTTGCTGCTGCTCTTGCTGCTGCACGCTGGGACCAAGTTGGCCGGCTTTGTAAGGGCATGGGTGGGGTGGGGGCCTGAGAGAGGGCAGTGTTCAGTGAGCCTGAGGCTGAGTAGTCCAAAGGAAAACTGCCTACGCTGCTGCTCTTGCTGCTGCATGCTGGGACCAAGTTGGCTGGCTTTGTATAAGCATGGGTGGGGTGGGGGCCTGAGAGAGGGCAGTGTTCAGTGAGCCTGAGGCTGAGTAGTCCAAAGGAAAACTGCCTTTGCTCTCTTTGGAATACCCTTCGCGTCCTCCCCACCCATCTGTTGTGCTGCTTTTATTCTCTCTCTCGCCCCTTGTTTTTAACCCCCCCTTCAGTTGTACTTCAGTTTCGTCTGAGTGTGTGAGTGCCCCCCCGCCCGGGCTTCTGCTCTCTTTTTATTCCCCTTCTCCCCCCTCCCCCCACTTCGGCTGCCTCTTCATATAAATATGTGTGTTTTCTCCCCCTCTTTTGTTTCTTTGTTTTTCAAATCCCCCTTTTCCCAGTGTTTACTTTTGTGGCGTTTTATAGTGTTCTCTGTCACATTATGCCATGGTGCTGATCTGGTTTGAGTCGCTGATATAGTGCACACAGTGGCTGTATACAAAGTGCATCTCTGTTTTGTTCCCAGGGGCTGTCATTCCATTCAGGGGCCTGTCATTCCAATCCCAGAACTCATCTTCAACCCACAGTCCCAAAACACTTCCTCTACTCCCAGTGGGTTATCACTGTACTCTGGGGGCTGTCATTTCAGTCTCAGAAAACATTTGC